TCTCTATTAGACTGCGCTGTCGGGTACCCACATTTTAACTAATATGCACCAGGAACAGCACAACTTTTTGGGTTCAGTCTGCAAAAGGAAAAGGATTTTTAAAATGGACAGTGCCCGAGAAAAAGGAGAAATTTAGAAATTTTTTGTATTTATATCTATTCAAATGTTACTGAAGTCTGGATATATTCACTTTTCAATTCTAGCACAGAGAGAAGTGAGGTCAAAATTTTCTCCTTGCTCTTCTCAAGGTGATCACAGATCAAAACACATCTGGAAGTGATGCTCCCAGGACAGTCACAGCAAGGGGCTGGCACATCACGAAGAAGAAAAAGGCAAGTTTAAAAGGTGGGGTTCATCCTTCTTTTGGTGTGGAAAATGAATTTATTATTCTGTATTCACCCAAGCTGTGTTGAAAATCCCTGTTGTTCTGCTTGCCAAGGAGTTTCAGAACAGCAGCCAACTTAATGGCAGCAAAAGTGAATTAATCTCTGCAAAAAGGACACAGGAATGAAGTGGAACTGTCACAGTCTCCAGGTGACGCGTAGCAGGACATGGCAGAAGCGTAATTTCCCCCACAATGCAAGAAAGAGACCATGGCACATCCATGGGGATGTGGTATGGTCCAAAGTCAAAATGTCTACATTCTCCCTGTCTTCTTCCACCTAAATGCCTCATCTGAGAGATGGAGGGAAAGACCTCACGTTTAATTTCAATCAGAAAATGGTTTCTTAAACAGGTCCAATAGGGAAAAAAAAATAATGTCCTTGGTCTTTGTTAATGTTTAGACCTGAGACTGTTGAGAGGTAAGGGGTAGCAGGTTTTGGATCTGCAGGCATCAGGGTCTGCTGCTTGTGTGGTAAAAAGCAATTGCTTTTATATCATATGTTTTCTGATTCACCTAATCAGGCTGCCAGACCATGCCAGTGAGCAAGCACTGCAGAAATGTAAAATAACATATACAGTGGCAATTCAGGAAGAAAGTATTTTTAATAGACTGTTTGGGACATGAAAGAGCTCATGAATTAGCACAGATTCCTGGTCAGGTTAGGACTGTCTCTGTGCTCAAGGGCGAAGTCCAGGTGGATGTTAAACAACTTCAGCAATGGCTACAGTACCCTACCAGTGTCCTACTAAGTTGCATTTTGAAAATCATGTTAATCAGTCAGTCAACCAATCAGATTAAGAAATACAGCTTTAAGAGAGGAAGATGACTAGGGACTGACCCACCTCCATAATATTTTCATTTACAGCAGTTCAGGAGAGCTAGTCCAGTGCTACAGAAAGCACCTTGGTCTGCCTCGAGCACTGTTGTGGGTACTCTGAACTCAACATTTGGTCCTGGGAGAACCCAGAAGCCTGTAGAATTGGAATGCAATCAGATTCATACTGAGTTTCCTGATCAAACAGAAAGCAATGAAAGTCATGCGGCTGACTTGGGATTCTCCTCCTCACATGAGACAGGAGATCTTGGGCTTTCTCTTTCAGCTGACACTCACTGCCAGCAAACACAGACATAACTGTGTCTTCTTGTACTGGGAGAAGAAATACACCTTTTGAAACGTCTAAGATGAAATCCTGGCTTTTTATGACAGTGGCAAAGCTCCAAATGATTACCCATGGAGTTAAAACAACATCTAAGATGAACTTCTACAGCAAGACTGAATGGCTAGGAGAGCTCTATATGCCCTGCAGAGATTAGATGACAGAGAAAAGTTTCTATGGCAAATTCAAATGCCTTTGGAGAGGAGCAGCCTGTCTCAGGGATGTGACTGTCAGTGCTCTGCTAACAGTGTTGTGTGTGGTGGCCATTGCTCTAACAAGCATTCAATAAAGCCATTTTAAGAAGAGAAACAAGAAAAACACAGTACCAGAGAATTACCTAAAATTCAGATCAGCTCTGCAGCTAGTCTGCAGAGGTGTCACTCTTCAGCATGAAAGCAACAAGTAAACAATAAAGGCTGCATTAATTATCCATGTCAGGCTACATCCAGCCACCAGCTTGGAGAACCTTTTCTCTCTCTGAGCAAAGAACAGCACACGTATGGTAAACACATGTGAAAGAGGAAAAGCATTTGTGTGTCCTGAAATCATTCTGTGTGATCTGGAAATTTCAGGTTTATCAGCTGTCAAAAATCACTGCTGTGTTTCTGCATCCCAGACAGTGCAGCTCTGCTCCCTCACCCCTGAACTTGCAGAGGTTTTCAGCACACCCATCGCTCATTAATTAATTCAACCTCAGCTTCTTTTCAAGCAATTTGACTGCTCTTTAGTCTAACATGGCCAGTACTGGGGGGATGATAAATACTGGGGGATTTCTCTCTGTCAGGGCATTCATGAGGAAAAAGTTTACAGGCACTTCCTGAAAGATTTTTTCTTTTTGCTGTGACACTTAATATGATCTCCAGCTCTTGAGACCTTCAAATTCAGAGCTCTAAACACTTTTTTTCAATCAGTTTGGCACTAAGATTGGTGGATGTGGGGTTTTTTTCAGCCAGTGTATGCCAATTTTTCATTCTACTTTAAAGAATCTTTTTAATCCTGAAGAAACAGGAAGAATGTTTTTGTACCAGCAGCATGTTCAAATACACACTCAGTAAGCAGAAATCTTTAAAAACAGGATAATTTTATCACAGAAGGTTTAATCACTTAAATAGAATGATGCTAATACGGGGCTCAATCAAACACAGTGCCCATCACCCTCAGACCCCAGTGCAGGGGGGCTGCACCCTCCCCAGACCACCTCAGAACACATGGAACAGGCTTGGAAAATTTGTTTCCTCCAACACATGGTTACAGCTCCTGCTTTCTTTCACGACATCTGTTCTCCTCTTGTGCAGTATTCTATTGACTAAAGCATTGGCTTGGGACAGGGGGGTGGAGTGGGGGTCCCCAGACTCAGGTCCCCATTTCCCTCTCTCCAAAAGAAGGGGGATCATCTACACATCACTGCAGGCAGCAATGCTCTCCCATTGCTGCGGCAGCTCTGCAGCTGGCAGAGAGAATTCTACAAACCCTGGGCAGAAAATAAAAAAGCACAGAAGGAAGAGGGGAGCTGCAGGTGTTCACACTCTGCTCTGAATATTTCATTTAGTATAAAATAATCTAATCCATTTTATTTTAGGGGTTTTTCAGTTGGTTGAGGTTTTTTTCCATTTACAATTCCTTCTACTGAGCTGGGCGTTTGCAAACTCTGCCTCAGGTCTGTTTACAGAAAGAAAATCCTCCTGTATAAAACTGTGATCTCTATTCTGTATCCTTAAAACACCAACTCTGAGCCACACATTTCAGCAGTCACAGAGCCGAGGCCACCCCAGCCCCTTCCCCATCCTGAGGTGAGGCTGTCCCGGCAGCGCAGGGACCGACAGGGACAGGCAGCAGGAGCAAGAGCTCATGACATGGCAAAGGGTGGCACAGGCAGGAGAAAAGGGGGAGATTCCCTTCTGCACGCCCCACATGGGGGTTCTCCATCCCCTGCAGGTGTCAGAGATCAGGCTGTGAAGGGAGGGGGGAAAACAATACTTTCCCTTCCTGTTCCCTTCTCTACATGACCCCCTACATTTAATTAAGAGCCTGGAGAATCAAACCCCAACATTTTATATAACAAGGTCACATCCAGAGCACAGTGCCTAACGTCTGCTTTACTGGTAATTGCCTCAAAGTGGCAATTTGTCAATGTTTTTAAGATAATGAGCTTCCTATTTGTGTTCCAGCCATCTAAAATTCCAGATAAGGAAACGCGCTGTAGCTATTACACGTCAGCTCCTCTCTGGTTACAACACTGCATTGTGTCAGTGCCCCTCTCCCCCACAACAAAGGAGTGCTGCCCATCAGTGGAGAAGTTAATCAAGTATCTTTTGAAGTCCGGCTGGGTACAGACTCTTTGGATGAAAGATGCTATTTAAATATCAATTGTCATGATGACGAGAATGATTATGGTTATTTTGGCCGTATTAGTAATAGTAAGTAATAGTATTTAAAAAGGTATTGAAATCTCTGCACAGAACTCAAATGAAAGCTCTAAATATTGCTTATTAGAATAGCCAGTCAAAATGTTTTCTTCTAAGCATTTATCCTATGAAAAATTCTTGCTATTCTGTATGGAAAGTTCTGCCATTCATCCCAAAAAACTGCAGAGAAGACTAAAACAGGATATTTTGCCATAAACTATTTAGGATTTTGGCTTTAATTTTGCAAGAAAAGTTTAGAACAGAAAATTTTTAGGATCTCCCACAAAGCCTATGTACCCTTTTCACCAGCTTTATTTACCTCCTTGTTAGCCCTCACTAGTGGGGATGTTCAAATGGATGCCTTAGAAAAGCAGCCTAAAGAATATATTTTTCTCCCTATAATGTAGTAATACATGTCATAAATGTGTCATTTAGTGATACCAGTTTTCATCTGCCCGTATGGCTGCTAGCAGCAGGAGGAACAGTTCTGATTGATAGCACTTGAAAGATACGTCAAATAATTTCTGACGAAAGAGAGAAAGCCAGATAGTTTGGTGTTTCAGTCCCTGGGAAGACAGGGCTCAGCACAACACACCAAGCCTTGCGCCAGCCAAGGCTTCCCTGTGCCCCTGGCAGTGAGCAGCACCTGACAGTGTAACGGAGAGCAATGGCCCTGCTAAAACACTGTCCTGTGCATGATGCACCTCCAGCTGCAGGTATTTTCTTTCGATACATTTTTAAGGCATCTTCTTTTTTTACTTTGACAAAGAAACTGTGCCACATCTGATCGGTAACACAAACAGAGCTGTGACACAAAGCTGCCGAGAACCCAACTTGCTCTATCAGTATAAGTCCCATTCTTTTCAAAGTTTTTTGGTTTTTTTTTGAGCTGATGAGGATTCAGAGAACTCTACAAAATCAGTTACTGGGAGAGATTCATTGTTGTACCATTCCTGGTAGGTTCGTATTTGCCCTTTGGCTGCTGCTGACGAGCAACAACACTGAAGAAACTTTAAGCAACTATGGTTATTCTCTATGCTCTTCTGTTCATACCTGTCCAGCGAGATACAGCAGAGGTGCAGGATTGATGCTGTGGTGAGCAGGACATCAAGGGACGTTCGGACCAGGCAGAACATCTCTCCATAGATCCAGTTGTCCTGAACCAACTCAATGGCTCCAAATGGCATCACCAGCACTGACACCAGCAGGTCCGCAAAGGCAAGGGAAACAATGAAATAATTGGTCTTGATTTTCCTGCAAGACAGATCACAAAATTAGGGTGGAATAGTTTCAGTGCAGCATCCTCTATATGTGGACAGAGATTTCAGCTTGTGTTTGGGTGTAATTTCTTCCACCACATTATATGGTTGGACTTTATGATCTTAAAGGTCTTTTCCAACCAAAGCGATTCTATGATTCTATGATCACAGTCAAAGGTCCTCTCTAATGTACTCCTTACTTTACATGGTGACCCCTAGCTTATTCCTGGTTTTTACAGCTAAATATCTAACGTGTTGCCTGCAGAAACGTATCTTTCTGCTCACAAAAAGAGGCAAATAGATGCTCACAGGCCTCTGCATGTGGCTCAGCCTCACAGCTTGCATTGGAGAGTTTGGGGTGGAGGAGGGAGATTTTATTTAAACTTATAAATCAAGAAAATCCTTCCAGAAAGCACTGAGAAGAATCTAGGCTGAAGCTGTAATTTTAACTTGAAGAGTACTTTTTAAATTATAACAATAAAATAGAATTAAATCCATTAAAAATCCCACGCAGAATATGAATAGAGGCTGTTGAATATCTCATTCTGCTCCTGAGGCTGGTCTGACAGCTCCTGGGGAAAGCAGCAAGCCTTGAGACAGGAGAGTTGTCCGTGACACCCCCAAATCGCTGGCAGCATTTGCCAAGCTGCGGTGGTGCAGCATCACTGCAACAGGACCTTGATCTGTGTGGTTTTCTGCTGGGCTTGTTAGTAAATTTGAGATGAAAAAGGGGTAGAGGCCAACCTGCTTCTCCAAGGAATTGCTGCTTAGCTCTGTTTTTCACTGATTTATCTGCTTTTTTACACTAAGAGTGCTAAAAACGTAGAGGATGGATACTAAAGGACACACTGAGGCCAGTGTGAGCGTCTGGCATCACTGTGGTGTGATGCATGGTCAGAGACACCCTTCATTGCAGCAGTCTATGGCCTCAGCTGCGGGCACGGGGCTCTTCAGGCGAGGGGATGATCCCCTGTGCCACCCTACAGAAGGGCAGGCAGTGGGCGGCTGGGTGGGCTCACCTGAGCTGCCTGTCCCGGCACACGGCCACCATCACCAGCAGGTTCCCCAGGATGGCCATCAGTATAACGGCAGAGATGAAGGTGAGCAGCACGATCCTCTCCGCTACGCCGAAGCCCTCACTCGAACTGGGGAGCACACAGGAGGAAAAAAAAAAGTGGGGAGAGAAAAAAAAGAAAAGAAGCTGCAGCAGCAGTGGGAGGGGATGGTCTGGGCAGCACCGAGGTGCTGGCACCAGCACTCGTGTTGGCACGTGTGAGAGCAGCATCCCCACACCTGTCGCAGCGCAGCAGCTTTCCCGTTAACAGAGAGCATTTTGTATCTGTGGGGAAAGCTGCGAGGCTTGTGTTCACCAGCAGAAAGGGCACAGGCAGAGGATTCCCACAACACCCGCGGCCACCCGGGTACGCCAGCAGCGGATAAACTGACACGTACCATGGAGGAACCCATTTCTGAGAGCTGGAGTGAACTGTGCCCGATTTCTGAAGGTTCCTTCCAATTCAGAGCCTCTGGATGAAAATGTTTTCATTCTCTTTTCACCCCAATAAATAATGTTATTTTGTATGCAGAAGTATTTTGGGTTTATTTTCCCTGCGTTTTTCCATTTCTTCCCAAGGCTTTCCTCAAATGAACTTTTTACACCTTGAAGTTTGAAATCTTCTGCATAATCTTTTATAATCTTTTCCCTTGTTCTCTCTTCCCTTCCTTCTGTGCAGTGAACAAGAGGTAGTCTGGCATATTTTTTTTATTTTTCACTTGGTAACTTCGCCAGGATAAGGGAAAAGAAAAAAAAAAAATTAAAAGGAAGTGCCCAAATTCCTCCTGCTCTGACATCAATAATTTTTTTTTCAGTTAATGAAGAGAAAGAAAAGAAAAAGGAAGGATAACATGAAAACACAATGCTGGACATATTTTAAGCCTGTATTTCTACAAATATTGTTAAGTGTTTCAAAACAAGTTGTTGGGGTTTTTCTCAGAGCCTGCAAAGCAGGAAGGTAATACACAGCATGCAATAGCATTCAATTCCTCATAAACTTGGTTTTATTACAAAATTTTGAGCCAGTTTCTGTTTAAAGCTATTTCTAATTATGCACCCAGAACAAAATCCATCCTAAACCTTCACCTGCTTGTGTAACCTTCCCTATTACATTACACAGGTGAGAATGGGTGTTTGTTCATGTTACCTGCTGTGGCTAGGAATAAACTGGCATTAAGAGCAGCACTTGACACTAATTCATCAGGGAAGTTTTTTCACAGCATATGGAGCTGGTATTTGGCACCAGGATTAACGTTGTGAGATTGTACAGGTAACTGAAAAATTGAACTGTTATTCTGTTGCACTTTGACTTCCTCTGGGGTCACTTTTTATTTACTAAATACATTCCAGACTTTTACACTTTATTTCACTGAATTCTCCTGATTTTTGCAAAGCTATAAAAGATTAAAGACTGCTAAAGTCCTGCCTCCACTATCTGTGCTGTGTTAATAAGCTTCTAGTGACTGACTTCACCCCAAGGCTGCACTGCGGAACCTCTACCTAATCACAATCTTCATTCTTCTCCCTAAAACCGATGCCACTTTTGAGTATGACTTTCTCGCCCACTGCCAGTGGGTCTGGTCACAGCTCGCTGAAGTTGGACACTTCATATTGAGTATGAACAATATCTTAAGAATTCCTTGACTCTCAGTGTTTTACCCGGAAATACATCACTGGGTAGAGGTTCATCCAGATGAGTGAATACGTTTATGAGCAAACAAAGAAGAGGAAAGGAGATGCCCTGGCCTCACATTAGTTTCATAGAAAAACACAGCACTAGGGAGATATATGCAGGCTCAAAAACAAGTGCAGTTATATGGCTACAATAAGAAAGAGGTCCAAGGCAACTGCATATCTGAGCTTCATAAATGTATGTCCATATGCTAATAGTGCTTTCTCATCTGTGAGAGCACAGGTAGCTTTTAATTCCAGATCATCTCCTGTGTTAAAACTAAGAGATTAATAAATGTCACAGAGAGTGGACAGTTGGGTGTTTCCCACCTCTCTACAAGGTTTTCAGACAAAAACACCCTGAGCACTGCCAGACACATGTCCTTCTGGAGGTAGGTTGTTGGGGTACCATTGTACGGGGAGAGGGGGTATGGGTGGCTCAGGGCAAAGGGTACCCAGTAAGGAAGTCGATTTTGTCCTGTGTTGGAATGTATGACCCCAGCCCAGAGGTAAAGGTATTACTGCTGCTTTTGCCCAACTGGTTTTCAGTGCTTATGTCAGTAAATCCACTCCTACCTAATGCAGGAAGGTCTCTGGGGTTATGTTGAAGGGGTCAGACACAGCCATGGGCTTGCATCCAGCAAGACACTTATTTTTGTGCAAGCCAATTATGGATGCTAAGGTAAGAAAAAGGCAAAGTCAAGATGTGCTTTTATTTAGCATCTGAAAGTTTTCAGTTAATTAGAAAAAGTTGTCTACTGAACTTAGCACAACTTCAGTGAGGGCAATTAAGGCTCCAAGAAGCTGGTAGCTCTGGACAAATCCTTCGGTGCATTCAGAAATGTTGACAAGGCTCTGTCTGAACTAAATATGTCTTTCCAAGTTTTTATTGGACAGCATTTCTTCCTGACACCTTGGGTCATTAGCTCTTGGACTACTCTTGCTACAAGTGGATTTTGTGTCTGCAGTTCTTGTAATTACACTGCAATTGCTACCTGCAATTTGCCTACACTGTTCCAGTCATACTTCCTCCCATGTGACAGAAAAAAATACCTATCCACCAGAAGGATCTGCCTCATCTATCATTCTGTCTGCCAGTGGCCCATAGGAGATGAAATGCCTACATGCATATAGCAGTGCCTCCCTTGCATGCTCTCTCATGCCGCAAAGGTGTGCCACACAGTGGACTTGGGTTTAACAGTTCGTGGTGCATTCCTTTGCCTTCCTCTCTCTGGTCTGTCTTTCAAACTCTCAGAACATGGTGAATATTATCTCTGGGAAGCTTTCCTCCTTGGTCTCATAGTAATTTTTTACAACAAGGGTGGTGAAACACTGGCCCAGGTTGCCTAGAGAGGTGGTAGAAGCCCCATCCCTGGGAACATTCAAGGTCAGGTTGGGCGGGACTCTGAGCAGCCTGATATGGTTGAAGATGTCCCTGCTCACTGCAGGGAGGGTTGGACTAGATGACCTTTAAAGGATTCTTCCATCTGAAACCCTTCTATGATTCTGTGATTCTATAATCAGCAGAAGACAACACCACAAAAATTAAAGGGAAATGGAAAAGAAACAATTTCAAAGGCAGGTCTCAGCCAAAGCCTTCTAGCTGGGTACCAGGTGGGATGAAAATCCTCTGAGACAATGGGGATGCCGGGATCAAAGGCACCTTCACTGCCGAGCTGTAATTGTACCTGTCTAAATAAGCTTTCACAATAGGCTAACACTGTTCCGTGGCTGCCTCTGTGAAACAAAATGTCAAGCCTCAATGAATAGTGCCATACAAAAGATGTTCCTTTTCCTCCCAAGTGAGCACGGCAGCACATACGTGCTGGCAGAGCGGTAAAGAGGATGATGACGGTTTAGTTTATACAGAGCCAGACTGAGTTAGATTTATATTTTGTCTTATCTAGCTTTGCTTGTCCTTCTGCTGTTCCTAAACAATTCTCATCGCTGTGTTATTTGAACACCTCACATCTGCACTGTGCACAGAGCAGGAGAGACACCACTCTGGTTCCCGAACCCTGCCAGGGGGTGAGCCGGCCATCAGCCATGGACAAGGCTTCTCACTCCACCATGCAGTGCCTCGGGAGGGGTGCTGGTGACCAAGCCTGCTGGCTTTTTTTTTAGGGGAAACTCCAGGGTTTGGAGGCTGCCTGTTGAGAGGTCCCTGTCCCCTCCCTGCAGCGAGGATGCTGCTCTCAGGGTGGTGGCTGTGCTGCCCGGGGAAAGGTGTCAGGATGTGCTGGGGCCTTATCCCACAGAGGGGGTTAGACAGGAGGAGTGAAGCTTTGATTTGACCCATTCCTTGAATGAGCTGCTCTGACCCTAAAGGCGATGGGTTTGCACTCAGATATTTCACAGTCATCAATACCACATGTAGCACAGGCATGGGTGAACGGAACTGCCCACTCATCTCCTGACAGAAAGCAGTTGTGCTGATACAGGAAACCCTGACAAACGTCAAGGCTGCCACCTGCTATTGCCACCAAAAGGATGGCCCTGTCCCCAGGCACCAGGGCAGGCTCTTCACATTGCACCTGCTCCCCGGGAGCACCACATGCCTTCTGTCACCCACGTGCCTCACTGCCGGGCAAGACAGGGCAGCGGGACAAGCCAGGTGCCCAGCGTGGTGCTGACTGCTCAGTGCATGCTGCTCCCATCCCCATGGGCAAGGGGGTTCTGCAGGACTCAGGGGAGGAGCGAGCTTGAGGGATGCCAGAGAAAAGGGCTCTGGAGGTGGAGAGAAATGATGATTTTCACCAGGCAGCTAGGACAGAAATAGCTGCAGACACCTCTATGCTCTTCCTTAGCAGCAGGATTTGCTGCATTGAAGAGAAAACTCCTACAGCTGCAAGGAAGTGATAACTCTGAAGTTCTAACTCAGAAGTTATAATTGGCCAAGTTTGGTGCTTTGGGGTAGAAGACTGACACTGAATTCCAGCTGGATTTTGCTAAGCAATGACACCCCGAGGGGAGGGGTGTGGTTTTGGGTGGAAGGGAGATTTGTCCTTGCAAGGTAGGTATTGGCCATCTCCTTTTGTAAGAATCCCAGATGTTCTCCTCTAATTTGGGTTTGTGAAGAAGGACAGGGACCATAACAGCAGGTGAAGATTTAGATCTGCTCTGTGCTCCCAGACATCTTCCTCAGTGACCAAGCCTATTGCCTGGTACAGAGACCTCCATCCCTTGCAGCCTCATCAGCTGCAAGGAGTTGTGCACATGAACAGACACTGAAGAGAACTACCCACCTCAGGTCTTTGGTGTAGAGAGATTTTGAGTTTTACTCATCAGAACAACCTCTAGAAATGCCAAAGGAGGCCAGCACTGAGCCACATTTCACCAGATGCATGACAACTGAGAGGTGCTTCAGCTTCAGCCAGGAAGCAGTGCAATGTTTTAAGCTCACATTTCCCATCTGGTGGACAAGGGCAACCCTGCCCTGAAAGTGGTCACATCTTGGTCTGCATCATTTGACTTGGCTGGCCATAGCCCAGGGCTCTAAACAGAGACCAGCAGGTCAGAAACATACACTGGCACACTTGTCTATGGAGCATTTGCTGTGATAATTGTTTTGGAAGCATGTGAGAGATCTCTCCAAGGAGTATTTCTCTCGTGCCGTGCGGCATTGCTCCCCCGGGGAACATTAAATAGGCACATGCATCACCAGGGGTGCAGGAAGGATGTTCATCTGGGCTATGTTTCTGTACATCTGCCTCTTGAATAATCTATCATCAAGTAGGAATATTTGTTAATTATTCAGTCTCAGTAATTCAAAGCTGTTAATAATGGAAGAAGTGGATATCGCTGTAAATTAAAATCAATGGTTTGCATAACATCTTTGATCAAATCTGAGTGCTCTGGCTTCCAAGCATGCTTCCCTGTTTAATAAAGCAGAGATTGATGGGTTTGCTATTATGAGGAAATGAGATTCAGACAAAATGATTGTTAGTTAGTAGGAACATAGAAATCGCTTAAGGAAAAAGGTGAAATACTGATGTGAAATGAATACTTAAAACCCATATATGGACACATTTAAAAGGCTCTTCTGTATAGTCATTAATGTGAAGAAAAAAAGTGTAATTATTTTTTCAAGCTCAATTTCTACTTTCCTGTAAACACCTCAACTTTTCTAAATGACCTCAAGTGCTTTTGCATATTTTATGCACCAATTAAACTGCACAGATCAGTGACGTTGGTAAGATCACGCACATTGCTCCTCTGGTTTTCATTACACATGTCACACCCTGACCTCTCCACCACTGCAGTAAGAAACAATCACTAATAAATAGCTCAGTGCTGGGAGCACCTTGGGCACCACACAGACACTCCCGCAGGAGTGAAGGAGAGGGGAAAGAGAGTGAGGGTTGAATAAATAAGACATTGCTTTGGGGGGCAGAGGAGTGCAGCTGACAAAAAGGAGGCTGCTGGATGGTCCATTTCCAAACTGGAGAGGAGTAACTCTGCCTGTAAAGGTGACCTGGAGCATCTCCTAGAGGTAGACAAGGACCATAGTGAGCACTTCATAACAAGGGATGTGTGTAATTCTCACTGAGGAAGATTAAAAGCTCTGAGCAGTGGTAGCCTAGAAAAGCACTTTCTTCTTGATTTAACAGTGGCCTCAGTCTATGGGGAAGACATGGAAGAGTGTCTGCTTTGTTTTCAAACAAGTCATGGCTTTTCCCTCTGTAACTCCAGCTGACATTATATTTCATGTAGGTCTTTAATTGCAAATAAGCTGTCATTTGCCTCTACTCCCCTGATTATTCCCAGGCATAAAATCAGAGGCTGAGTGTTAAACACTTAAAAATCAAGCTATGTTATTTTATGAGTAAACCTAACAACGCATGTCTCAGCATAGAAACAAGACAATAGGGAAGATATTATTTGATCTATGGCTTTCCAGCTGTTACCATATTCTTTTCTTCTGCGACCTAAAAATATTAATCAGAAGTCAGCAGTAATCCAGCAGCATATAATCTCTTTTAGTGTCTTCAAATAGTACACTGCCTGTGCCACTTCAGACTGTGCAGATGGCAGGACAACTTCTAACAGATCCAAATCAATTATGTACTTCACTTCTGTTTTAGAAACAGATTGAAATTAATTAAAGTATTGACAGGCCAGAAATAAACAGCATTCCACGTATCAAAATAACTCAGTCATACAGTTAGTTTATTGGAGTGCTGGGTTTTTTTGGTTGTGTTTTTTTTTAACCAGATAAATTGTGGTGGTGGGGCAGGTGGGAAGGGATGAGGTTTTCTCCTTTTATGGTGGTTTGAACCTCAGAAACATTCTGCAAAACAGCTTGCTTCCACTGATAGTGTGGGGCTGAAAACTCACAATGCTACTGCAAACAGCAGCAGCCCAAGTAGGGTCCTGAACAATGAAACAAGGACTTCAGGCCACTTCCTCCTGGACAAAACTACTGATGAGATCACCGATCCTGCACCTCCACTCCACGTATCTCCTGGAGGCTGAATGCTATAGGGCTTCAGAGAATTCAGTGTTTTAAGCAGCTGATAATACTGATTAAAATCAATTGTCAAGATGAAGCAAAGAAGACAGGCTATTTAAACGTTTTAAAAATTGCTGTGTGTGGGCTGCACAGTCAATCAGTACGTGCCAGGAGCACTCTCCCATTTGGAAGTGGGTGCATGCTGGAGCTGCCAGACACTGCGGGACCTCAGGAGCTATAGGGGCCAGAGCAGTGGCTCCAGCTCTGCACGCACCTCAGGCTTTGAGACTGCCCAGAGCTGGGCTGACAGGTGAGGCACAAGGGGCTCCAACCATGAAAAAACCCAAAGTTTCTGCTGCTCCATGTAATTTCCCTAGCTTACACCAGCAGAAGTTCTTGCCTTTTCTGAATGGAAATTGGATCTGGGGCTGAAAACTTATCCTGAACAATGCAATGCTTTAACATGATCTTCATACAGATGAAGGTCTGAGAGCTCAAGAGAGAGACAACAGCTTGTACAGTTATACAGGAAATGTGTGACAGAAACAATCCCAGACCCAGTAAGTCTCCAGGCACTGTCTAAACTTAGGACCTCCCCTCTTGCAGGGAAGTCAGACAGGAATCCAGCAGCCACGTCCATCCACACTGGTCGCACCAGGCACCACAACCCTGGCTCTGCTCCTTCCCAAGCAGCAGATCAAGTGTTACATAATTTACACCCACATATGAAAGGATATTGCTGCAAGGCTGATGCATTGAAGTACAATCCTTTAAAACCACTAGACTGTCACCTAAAATATAAGCTAGAATTAACTTATGAAATTAGCATTAGATTAAGATCATGGTATTTACAGGGAAGAAGGGCAACTGCTGCAATTACTCTATTTGGGATCCACTAACAACCACCTCAGGAGAGCTCTTGTGCAAAGCCCTGTGCAATCACAAATCACCATCTTACACATCTAACTGGAGTTTGCAGGACTTTGGCACTATGTTTTGCTCCTTACAATATACTTTCAAATTTTTAAATTTTATTCCCAATGTCTCCTTCACATGCTGAATATTCCCCCTTTATTTTCACATAAACATAACAATACTTTTCAGATGTGCAGGGTCTACTTATTTTAAGGAGGTTACTAAATGCTCTATAACTATGAAAAAATCAAGTATCTTCCTTAGGCACAGGTAGGAATTTAGGCACACTACAAAGTGCAGCAGAGATGCTATAACAATCATTTCTCCTTTGTAAATGCTGAATAAAACCAAACATCAAACATGCCTTTAATCAAAAATTTCTTGATCAGTTCCTAATTAGAATTGCTCCTCAGAAGTCCCCCACATCTACCAAACTACACATCAGTTTAATGAAGAACAGAAGATGATGAAAGAAGCACAAAAATAGACCTGACTTTTGGTGTATATTCCATCTTAATAATGTGATTATCCTCTGTTTTCCAGATAAGTTTCTCTTGCCTATCTCATGTTATACGGAAGTCTTAAAGCAGGCTGTATGTTCAAATGACAAATACAACATAGCGACTCTTAGGAGATCTGATTTAATGAAGTACCTTACTTCCTAGCAGCATTCCCATTAATTGTCATTCATTTCACTTCCATATTCTATAAATGTCGAAGACAGAGTCTAGTATGTATTTCTGAACAAGAATGTCTGTAATTCACTTATTGTATAAAATAATTTTACTTTACAGAGACATAAGCGATATCACCATTACACATACAACTGTCTCAAGGCTTTCTCAGTAGTTTAGAAACAGGGAATAACATGATGCAGATCTATGACACAATCTCCTCTGGCATGGGAGTGAGTTGGAAAAATCAAGATTTAGACTCGTGCTAAACATACTCTGAGTGCCCACATTTCTCACAGAAATCTGTGCGATGCCTCCTGCAATAACCAGGTGCAAAACTGGGACGCACTGAGACTGATCACACCCAGCCTGCTACCCTTCGAGAGTGAGCTGCTGCTCCTGGGCTAAAAGCTTCTGTTTCCCTGTCTTATTATAACTTTTCCCATTAAAACAAAAGAGTAAGTTCTGCCCTATCCACACACATTTGTTTCCCCAAAGATAACTCTTTATCAATCAAAACACCATAATGGCAACAACACTTTCATCAAAGATACGAAAGTCTAGAGGTTGCAAGATTTTCAAATCAGAAAGCATGAAGGTCCTGCTCTGTTCTTGCAAGCAATATTTGCAGTCAGGGAAATATTAGATGAGAGGCATTCAGCCAAGACCAGTGGAAGAGTCCTGGCATCAGGCTGTACATTAAAATATCCAAGCTGCGTACTTATCCCACTGCTTGTTTACATCTTGGACAATAAAAGACAAATACAGCTATTGGCTGTCCAACTTCTAATATTTCCTGGACAGTTTCCCAGTTTCAAGAATCTAGAGGAATGAAAGAGTTTCTTCTTGTTACCCCTGCTAATGGAAGACTTGGCACAGACAAGATAATACACTGATCTCTGGAATACATTTTATTTGAGACACCTCCAAGACACCCCAGGTGACTCTAAGCCACATGAAACCAGCTCCAGCTCATTCATTACCAGACAATAGCAGGAGGTACTTTTACTTCTTTTTTGAAGGCAACATAGGACTGTACGTCCCAACAGGTTTTTTTTAAGGCACAGCATGGTGGAGTTCATCTGTTCAGCTTCCAAGCTGTGTGCCCATTGAAATATTTGACTGAGTGACTGACCTGTGTGCCCTGGGAATGGTGTGTCTCCTTAGTCCCTTCTCCAGTGCCACAATTTCTGAACTGGCCTACCAGTTCACTGTGCCTGACACAAAACCCCAGTCAAGCTGGATAAGTCATCTTTGATATGTCATTCATTCTCAACTCCACTACCTCAATTTGAGCTTTACCATAAAGACCAGACTTTGGTAAAGCTAATTCCAGAGGTAGCAGCCAGATACCTTCTCCTCCAGAGAACATGAACATCAGCTCATTTTGTATGAACCTCACTCTTGTATTTAGGCTCCAGATAGGTGCCTTTTCAAAGCAAGCACATGGGAAGTCCTTGGTTCAAGAACAGAGCGCTTAAATTTCTTGTTTTATTTAAACCTCCTTCTATGTCCCCAGCTAACTGCATGTTCTGAATACTCTCCACAAAAGCCTCATCACATTTCTCACTTCAAATAAACAAAAGAAGATGTCAACCTAGGCAAGGAGCAGGACAGAGGAAAAGCAAACAGTTGGGACTGTTTTGTAGATGGTAAGTGCAGACACTCAGCTCAGATGCAGCCCAGATCCCACCCAGGAGTCACCACCAGCACATATTTCTGAGGCCAGACTAAGAAGCTCTGGAAGCGTTTGCTCAATTGTGATCTCTTTTGGCTAACAAGTGCAAGGGCATCCAGGAGCAATGTCTCACTGTGCTCGTCTGCAGAAGCCCTTGACAAAGATTCCTAGAAACAACTTTCATGAAGAATAGACCAATGTGAAGGCAGAGACCCTCTTTCCCACAAGGAAGTGAAATGACCTACAGGTTACTTCATGGCATCAGGTATGGACTGTTCACTCACAGGTTCTACGAACTTCAAGTTTGATCCATAACCGGGAGCTTGCTGCTGCCTCTCCCAGTGGTCTCACTGTAGGCTGTTTTAAAAATCTGCTTCAGTCTGAACTAACCACTTGCAAATAAACTACACCAGTATGCTGGGTACCACAGGTCTCTAATTTTCCCTACCACTGACTGAGGAAACTGGTCCAAGAACTGAGGAAGAAAAAAGAAAAGAAGAAAAGAAAAGCTCAAGAATAAAACAGAAAGATATAGCCAGCAGCACCGAAATGATACTGCTCACAGTGTCCCATTCAAGGGTCAACACCATCAGATAAGTGCTTTACACTAGAAAACAATCCATGAAGCTCCATATCAAAATGGAAGACAAACTAAGAGCCCTATTGGAAATTAACACTTACTGCCCAGACATACTTGGAAACAAGCAAAGGCTTGCAGAGCTGAAATTTTATAGAACAGAGCAGAAACATAGGATCAGTTTGAGGGTTTAAAAGCCTGTGGAGGAAGAAAGACTGAGCATGTCAGCTGTATCCTGTGGGCCCATTTGTAAAGTTCTGAGATAAGCAAATAAGAAAGAGGTAAGGTCTCTGCACCCAGCATCTAGAAAATGACACTGCAAACACAATGCTCTTTTCAAGCATCAGAGGAGGGACCAACAAAGCACAGAAGCACAAGGCTCAAAAAAAGACAACTGACCATAACAACTATTTGTTTTTGTAGGTCATTTGTTCCTCATCAGAGCAGGGAAACTGGATCCCAACCTGGGGTGGCCGATCCCTGGCAGTGCTCATCCAGGGGAAAACAGGGAAACACGTTCCCCTTGGGCTTAAATTCTCTGCTTACAGGTCTGCAAAGCTGTTAGAAACTTAATAGCATCTGCCAATCACAAAGCATTGAAAATCTTAATTAGTGACATTTCTGGAAAGCTGTTGCAGTGCATTTTTACTGAGGATGAGTACAGAAAGTTGGTTTGTTTTGTGGTTAATTTTCTGGCCTTTTAAACTATGTTACTAACTTCAACAGGTATTTCAGGCGAGGGGCACTGTTAGCTGCATCAGTTTACAACTTTGAGTTCCAATGAAAACTTCTGGTTTACAGTGTGTCACCAAGAGTAATTCTGAACAGATCCTCACATTGCTGCAAGAAGACAGCATCAATAAGGGCTCTGAGCGTGGCTTATAGAGAACAGCATAAGCAGTACGAAAACACTAGGTGCCTGCACTGGACTAGACCGAGATCTGCTGGGCTCAGGAAAGTGTACTGAACAGTAGCTGAATTGCAAGAAATAAAAACCCTGTGTTTCATTGTAGCTGCCAGCTGTGCCCGAGAATCACATTCCCATTACAGCCTATAAAAATGGAAATTGCAAATAATGGCACTAATGGGACCAAATCTATTCCAGCTGCTTGGAAATGGAGGGAGAAAAAAGCATTCTTTCACTCTAGTATGACCCAAAATACCACAAAAACAGTTTAATTCCCAAAGTAAGGTAGTCTATTAATTTTCCAGGGATGTGTACCAGTGAAGAGGAGGTTCATATCTTGATGCACAAGCCCCAGAGCAGCTTCTCTGGCAGAGGCTGGAAAGTTAATGGCCCATGTCCTCACCATCTCCTTTCCACAGAGGAACTCAAAATCTGCCTGGCCTCCTGTGACATTCTCTACTTGCCCTAGTCTTCCAAATAGCCGAGACAATCATTGAGACTGTTCAGAAACATGTCACAGGTCTTGGGCAGCTGCCTCAACACTCTGCTCTAAGTCCTGAGAACATGTTGACTAAGTTAACATGAACCAGGTCCTTCCTGCCTATCTTCTTTTGCTGAATTTATTTATTCACCTATTATACTCCCTGTTGTAACAGAAGCCGGTTTTCAGATAAGTCCTCAGAGCTCTCAGGAAGTTCATGAGAACAGCAAGTCCTGTACAGGTCTCCAGACTAGTCTACTGACAGTGAGTGATGAGCTGGCCCATCACCACAGCCCTTTGGTCTCACGGTGGAAAGGAGGCTTTGGAAACAAGACTTTGTGTTTTCAGGTCCTGGCCTTTAAGAAAAAGTTGAACAGAACTTAAATGCCAATAGATACAACTCTGGAGATAAGGAAATGGAAAAAATATTATCTGAGCTCTGGGAGCTGGGGTGATTTTCCAGATTAGGCTAAGGAACTGGTGACTAAGTGAAGTACTCTGTTTACACACATTTGACTTCTGGACTGACTTTTAAAAGAACCTCGAGTCATCAGGACATGCTCTTGCCCAGCATTATAACCACTGGAGTCTGCTTTTACATCTATCTGGTACCATGCTGTAGCAGTGACTCAATATTCCCACTTGGGCAGTGGGCTCACGTAGCATGGGCAAGCAGATACTGGGTTTATTAAAGCTCTGGGGGCACTGGAGAAGCAAGGAAAATGTCTGTGCCTACTGTTAGGCAGCACTGTTAAAGGCAATTTATGAGGTAAGTGTCCAATCCAGGGAGGGGTGACAGAAGACAGGTATGACCCCAAAACAGCCATGACATATTTCCTTTGCTCTCATACAGGCATGAGCTCATGAGCATGGGGAAGGTAAAGGCCCTGCTCAATACACTCTCTCCTTCGCTTTGACCCAACAACAGATGGATAGCCAGATATTTAACAGCATCCTGCTCACCCCATCCCTCACTAACAGCAAGCAGAACACTTTCCTTTCTCCTTTCCTCCTCTCTGAGCTTGCAGCAACACCAACGTGCAGTTGAAAGGTCAGCTGCCAGTCCATTTATCACAGGTAAACCAGCACAAGGCCAGAAACCCAGCTCCTGTCCCCAGCAGCCCTCTCCAATGTTGAGATTCTGTTTCTAATGTTTTTTTCTGCAAGGATGCTTTTTTTTAAAAAAAAAAAAAAAAAAAGTTTCCAGATTCACTGTTCCTCAAATGTGAGAAACAGAAGAGCATCTGGCAAGCCTAAGATCTAATCCTCCCTGCAGTCCAGGCATCATATCCTGGGAAGGACTTGAGTTGCATAAGGCTGTAGTAAGCCTCCACTGACTGAACAGAGAGTAGAAACTGTCACCTGTGACAGGCAGACCCTTCACCTCTTCACATGCTTAAAGGTAGAGCATTCTGGCCTCCAGTTTCTTGGTTTGTGTTGAGGGACACAAGCACAAGAGCTGAACATGCCTCCTTGCAAGTCCTTTTGCAAGTATGAGCCCGGTCTTGCTACATTTTTCAGCATGCCTCCAGTTGGTTGGCTTTTTCTTTGGTTTTGGGGGTTTTTTTAGGGTTTGTTTTGGTTTGTTTTCTTTTTTTAAAAAAAATAACCTGCCCTACAATGGATTCACCCTCAAACAGCCAAAGACAACCCTGAAAGCTTCAGCTTCACAGGGTTCCTGTCCATCAGTTGGAAAGCTTGTGTTCAGACAACAGCCACTTTTACTTAACTAACGTTCTGACCTTGGGGAGGCAGAGGCTGCTGCTCAGGGGACACATGATGGCAAGTCTTCAGTTAACAGATGGGCCAAGACAGTAAGTTCATCCAGTGGCTGAGGCTCAGACCTCTGACTGTTTGCCAGACCAGGGAGTCACATCATTGATGATTCATTGCCACAGTACAGTAAAGGCAAAATAAACAGCAGCAAGACTGAATTAGGTAAGAAGAGGAGCATATTTCTTATCTGTATCGTAGATGCACTCTGCTCCAAGGCAATAGTCTATCAACAGTCATTTATACTACCTGATAGCAGGCCCTGGACACACGGCCAAGCAAACAGCACAAAATGTTTTGTTGCGGCATCTTTCATATCTGAGATAGTAGAAATGCTCTTTCCCAGGCAGTGAATGGCTCATTCTGCAGCTGCAGACACGATTGCAGCAGGATCTGGAGTAGGTAACAGCTCACCACAACTCTCAGCATCGCAGCCCTATTCCCAAGGCAGCATTCCCAGCAGAGATGTCTACCCAAGACCTGAGGACTGTCTTCCTGCACTTGTCCAAAAGCAGGTCAGGTAATTTGAACTCACTGAGAGGAGAGCAAGAGCCATCAGATTTC